TTCTAGATTCATCCATGTCTCTACAAAGGACACAAACTCATCTTTTTTATGGCTGCATAGTATTCCATGGTGTATAGGTGCCATATTTTCTTAACACAAACATTCTTTTATGCACAAAAAAATGAAAAATAGTATGTAAAATTACCTTTCATCTATGGGTATAAAGTATAAATAAAACATCAATGAATTTTGTGTTTAGACTTGAGTTCCATCCCCAAGATATTTCATTTTGTATATATAAATATTCCAAACTCTGAAAAATCAGAAATCCAAACTTCTTGTTCCAAGCATTTCAGATAAGGGATATTTGACCTGTGTGAATCCCAACAACAAATACATATGTATATATATTGAGACGGAGTTTCACTCTTGTTACCTATGCTGGAGTGCAATGGTGCAATCTTGGCTCACTGAAACCACCCACTCCTGGGTTCAGGCAATTCTCCTGCCTCAGCCTCCTAAGTAGCTGGGATTACAGGCACGCGCCACCATGCCCAGCTAATTTTTTGTATTTTTAGTAGAGACGGGGTTTCACCATGTTGACCAGGATGGTCTCGATCTCTTGACCTTGTGATCCACCCGCCTCGGCCTCCCAAAGTGCTGGGATTACAGGCGCCAGCCACCACGCCCAGCCCAACAAATTGTTAATATAATTATTTATCAATTTTCTAAAGAATTTTCTTAAAACTTGTGAATGATTTACATTCACACTTACCTTTATGCTATAGCTTAAAATAATAGAAAAATTGAAGGAATGATGTCCAAGTACCAGACCAGCTTTGCTAGTCTTCATCCTGCTATTTTATACTTAACCGAGCATGACACAGTCAAGCAGTTGGTATGTTTCACAATTTTAAGTCTTTCCCAACTGTGCTACAGGATTTTACTTCACATGTGTATGTGTGTGTAAGTGCATTTATGGGTGTTATACTCATTTATTTTTCAAAAATGCAAACACTTGATTTGGAAAATAAAATAGTGAAATCCCCAAGCAATTTAACCCTAAGGAGTTAAAACCTGGATTAGTTATAAGAGAAAAAATATAACATATTGGGGGATACATGCAATAATTGATAAGGCATTTCAGAATTATTCCTTGAATCAATGTAAGTTTTTTAGTCAGTGAAGGCAAGTAACTTCTATTAGGGCTTTCAGATGTCTAAAAGTTATTATAAAGAAAGTGTTTTAATGATCAAAGAAACAAATGTTCAAATTTGGACAAGAACGTGAATTATCCCTAAGTTTGTCACCGTGGCATAGAAGAAATACAGAAAGAAGCCACTACAAACTATTTTAATAGGAGTTATTTAAGAAAGTAAAGTGTTTAGCATTGGGAATGACCTCATTTGCTCACTATTTTCCAGAATTTCTGGAACAATAATCTCATTACAGCTGAAAGGCCAAGTGCAGGAATTTTTTAAATGAGAATACTATACTTGTCATGACTGGAATAATTGGTAGCATTTTATCTAGAAACTTTCTAAAAACTAAAACACAAAAATAATTTAACTATATTTCTCTAAAATCTACACTAAAGCAATTTAGATATATGGTATTATACAACTTTTAATCTTAGGAGTAATAATATAGAAATGCTCTTACTTAAGAGTAAAATTGCCATTAACCAAGATTAATAAGGGAGATTAAAGTATTAAATGCTAATTTACCGGAGACCTAAGAGACTTTCAATATACAGACAGCTAATGCCAGACTGTTTTAATAACTTTTTAATTGTGTGTTAATTATTTATTCATTAAATTGTTTATTCTGGTACTTCATCCAGAGTCTCTGGTGGTCTTGGATGAAGGAATTTAAGCCCTTACTTGCTTGTAAATCATGAAGCAGGCATTTTAATTGCATTTAAATTAGTTGCAATGGGGAAACGTGTGAGAATAGGATGGAACTCCACCACATTTCATGAGCTTACCCTTACCCTTGAATCATAAATTTCAACATTTAAATATTAGCTCTCAAATTAATGATTCTGTTGACTTCATTTTTGGACTCAAACTAGATTATGTTAATTTACAGTAAGTGTATGCTGTAGAACTGGGCATGGTGGTGCACACCTGTTATGTCTGCTACTCAAGAGGGTGAGGCAGGAGGATCACTTAAGCCCAGAAGTCCTGGACTGTAATGCACAGTAATCACACCTGTGAATAGCCACTGCACTCCCGCCTGGGCAACATAGTAAGATCAAATAAACAAATACATTTATTGATTTGTTACAAAAACAAATAAATATATATCACTGGAAGATCAGGGCATATTATTTATAATCAGAATTTTCTATGACATGGAGCCATAATTAAGCAAACAATATATCCTTTCTTTTACAATTTCTTATGAGCCAAGGATATGGACTAACACAGCATGATCTCGTTCCTTGATGTGATCATGATCTAGCGGAAGATATAGTGGTGAAAACAAAGTACTAAAATATGATGAGATAACAGTAAAATATTGTGAATTTACAAAGGATAAGGCATAGTTTGGAGATTAATATTTAAACCAACTTTTGAGGGATTCATTAGAATTTAACCAAATTATAGAAGTTATTCCCAGGGAAATGACCAGCAGTATTAGAGAATGTTTTAGAAGCAGCAAGATAAGAGGAAATAGAGTTTAGGGACATATAGACAGAGGAGATAGAACTGAAAGTATGTGTGAATTTCACTAATAAATAGTACTGTACATCAATGTTAATTTTTAAATTTTATTTCATAGATAGCGAACTGACTCTCAGTTTCAATTTTAAAATATGTTGCAAAAAGTTGATAAATTGTATTTACCCGTTAGAAAAATAATTCTGGTATCAAAGAAAAATATGGATGAAAATGCTGATTTCCTTGAGGGTAAGGAGAACAGAGAGAGCAGATAAACACTATATAAAAGAGATAGTAAAGGTCTGAGTGAGGAAATGGCAGTGGGGTTGAAAAGGAGTAGGGCAATTTCAGGAAACTCTGCTGAGGTTGTTAACCGATCTATGTGGGTGCAAAGAGGATAAATTGCCAAATAAAGTTCTTCAGTTTGTAGCTTGTGGTTGTAATGAAGCTATTAACTAACGTAACAGACTTAACAGAAGTGGAATTAATTCTAATCATGCCGGAGGTGCTTACTTCATTGTGTCCTAATATATCCAAGGACTTAGAGGTGCCTTATCTTTTCCAATGGATCCTATTACACTGGAGCACTGGGTAGGCAACACTGGAATTCTACCAAGAACTTTTACTTTCTTAGTCGAAAAAGTCCACTTGTTCATGTACAATTTACAGAAGGAGAAATGGTAGTACAAAAAGTTCTGAGATCGAGGTTTTTGACAAACTTGTGAAATTACCTGACCTCAAGTTTCACAGGGAAGTTAAATTTTCATTATATAATTTACGTCTAAGAAAGCAGGAAGTCAATTCCAAAGAAGTTTTTCAGTCTTGCAGAAAAATCAGGAAACATTCAATGTAAGTGTCCAGGGAGCAAGAAGCCAAAGGAGGCAACTAGAAAAGCATATACTCGCAGGTGAATGCCGATGACCTGGTGAGTGTGTTTCACCTTCGCACTGCGTGACGCTGCACTCAGCTAGAATATTGCTATGTGGGCCGGGCGCGGTGGCTCACGCCTGCAATCCCAGCACTTTGGGAGGCCGAGGCGGGTGGATCACGAGGTCAAGAGATCGAGACCATCCTTGTCAACATGGTGAAACCCTGTCTCTACTAAAAATACAAAAAAACTAGCTGGGCAGGGTGGTGCGCGCCTGTAATCCCAGCTACTCAGGAGGCTGAGGCAGAAGAATTGCCTGAACCCAGGAGGCGGAGATTGTGGTGAGCCGAGATCGCACCATTGCACTCCAGCCTGGGTAACAACAGCGAAACTCTGTCTCAATAAAAAAAAAAAAAGAATATTGCTATGCTTGTCACCATCCACTGTAAATTTTATGTTATGTAGGAACTACGAAAGAAAATATTTTTTAAATGGATTGTTTAGTTATGAGAGAATAGAATACATCTACTTCTAGGATCCCAAATTTCAGAAAATAATTCCAATTTATATCAATTAGATGAAAACAATGTACATAGTTCATGAATTATTAACTTTTGAGAATATATAAAGTAGAAAATTTTAAGTCATTGCTAATACAATTTATTTCAAACTGTCATTAAAATATACTTTGTTATTATCGACATTTTTTATGTTGTAAGCATTTTATGTTATTCCTGAAAACGAATTATATGTTAAAAATAGATTTGGCAAAAATGTGTTTTTAGATATTGTCAGGTTGAGGTGTTAATCCGCATTTTGTGGAACTAAGGCATTCATTTAAAAAAGTACATTTAACTTAGGTTATTTTTTAGATTACAAGTGTTTTTAAAAGCATTTTGTTCTCTGTCTACACACAGGTGCATGCATGTGCACACCCATGCACAAACATACATGCACACATTATCTAAGTATGCAAGCAAGGTCCAAATGGAAGTTCTGAAAAATAGAATCTTAAGGAGCCAGCTAATGTTCATCACTGTGAATTTGCAGAATCTTTGTCAATGCTTTGGGAGCACGTACTTTTTCAAAATAGCCCAGGAAGAGCTCCTGATGTGTGAACTAATATTTCACATTTTTTTGGTATAAGAGAATTAATTTTTTAATGCAAGGTGATTTATTTGGGAAAAGTACTTATTTTGACATTATGAGTAGTTCACTGCAAGGGTGTGTGAGTTCAAGCTTATTTCACATCTAGTCTCTTAGACGTTTATTGTTTCTTCTTTAAGCCAAAGAAGATAAATAAAAATTAAAATTTTAGTTTGATTGCTAAAAGATATTATGACCTCCCTAGCCCACTTGTTCACCGGACTCAGTGTGAGTGTTTTTTGTTCATCCGTCTGGAGTAAGGGTTTGCAGAACAGACCCCAGCAGGTGGTGATCAAAGTTTCATATAATCAAGTATAGTAAATAAATATTAAATTTCAACTTCAATTTTCAGATTAAAAACAGAGGCTCAAACAAGTTACCTCATGTGCTCCAGCCTGCACAGTAAGTATGGTGGAGCATGAGTTCAGATCCTTATCTGTGTAGCGCCAAATTCAGGCTCTTAGTCATTACACTGTGTTGCTTTCCCCAGCTATGTAAACAGAATAGTCTAAAAACAGAGGCAGATAAGAAATAGTCAATCTGAGGAATATCTTATAGCAAAATGAGTAAATAACATGTAGAAGAAAAACATCCTTTATTGATATTATTAAAATCCATGCATAAATTTCTCTAGGCATAGGAACCCATGTGGATTCTCATTAGATTATCTATGATTTGGAGTAGATACAGCAATCTGAAATAATCAATTTAGACTCTGGCATACAGTTCTGCCCAAGTGTTTTCATTTTTTATCCTGGCTATTATTAGCATGTTGAGAGGTCATAATTTTTACATATGAGAAAATGTAATTTTCTCATAATTTTCACATATGAGAAAAATACTTTCCAAAAGTATTTTTACATATGAGAAAATGGTCATGTTTCCCATGTAAATATAGATATATGTTTATGTAAACACAACATATGCACACAAACACATGCAAAACTAAGAATAACCTGGACCCATAAGAAACAGACACATGGTGCATCCTTTCACAGCTATAATAAAACTCTAAATATTTATTGAAAAATATTGACATATATATTTACAAATATGAAACAATTTTAATCCTTTCTGTTTTACTTGGCAGGACCATCAATCAATGACAATAAGTAAATAATTACATTTCACATATTCATAGAAACTTTTCATTGAAGTGAAGTTCAAGTAGTTTGATTACTATGAAATTTCCTGTTTCAATCAGAATAGGCTATGTTATGCCAGAGTTACCTAAAAAGCAATATTTATTATTTATATTGTATGTTCATTATGAACTGTTTGTGTCCTCTGTTTTAATTCCGTCTCAAGGCAATGGGATGTGACTTCTACATTTGGATAACAGTCATCTTGGCAAGGGAAAAGGACCTGTGGAGTTCTTCATGGGCACTTAAATATTTGTAGTTGCAACTTACATGGAAATTCTGCTGTTATTCCATTGACCAAAGCAAGTGACATGGTCTTGCCTAACTCAAGTATGTATGTTGAAGAAAGGGAAATTATTTGTCAACAACCCTAAAATATACGACGTTTTCCTTTTCACTAAATCAACGAAAATCATTCATGATAAACCAAATGTCATGTTAAATTTGTTAAAATATTTAAATACATAAAATTCTATTTATATATAATAGTAGTGCTAAATCTAATGATCACTTCTATCTTAATATGCTTCCTGGTAGCAAACAGCACTTAGGGCTCAGGAAAAATCTTCTCCACATAACTTGCTTTACATGCTTGAAAATAAATTTAATTGTATGCAAGTATCTTGAAGTGTCGGTAATGCTGCCACCAGCATTACAGACAAACAATACTTTAAGTTACAAGGACAATTTGAAAAGCAGAATCTTTTAAATTACAGAATTACAAATTTATGAATTTATTAAAGTCTTTCTCTCATATAGCTGAAAGCCCTCTACCACTTAGCATTATTTTTCAATAGTGTGAGGCACCTTTAATTATTTATTTATTTGCTTCTTCTATGTTTCAGTTAATGGCTCTAGTTCTGGAAACAATATGCTTTAATGCAACATACCAAAATTGTACCATACAACTACACAATTCACATTCAGTAGAAACTACTCTTTGAATTTTGATCTTGAACTAACCCTAGGCTAGTGACACGCAATATGATTCCATTTCACAGTGCTAGGCAGTGGCAGTCATTCTCTTTTTCATTTCTTTTAGTACAGTGATCAATGAATTACATGAGATATTCAATGCTTTGTTATAAAATAGAGTTAGTGTTGATTTTGTCCAACTGTAGGCTGATGCCAGTATTCTGAGAATGTTTAAGCTAGGCTACGGTGAGCTATGATGTTTCATAAGTTAGGTTAATTAAATGTATTTTTGACTTAATATTTTCAACTTATGGATATATCAGAATATAACTCCATTGTAAGTTGAGAAGTATCTGTATGAAAACAGTTGATACAACTAGTTGATATTTATTTTTAGTTAAAATTTTTTGAAAATGTGTGTATTCAAAAACAAATTTTTATGCATAGATATTTTTATTGTCAAATTAATCTAAATGTGAGAAATTGTCACTACATAATTATTGATTTTGTTAAAATGAAGAGAAGATAAACATTTTATGGAATGCATAATACTTGTTAAATGCAGTATGTTTATTTGCTTATTCAATAACATGAACAAATCAACATAGCACAGACATATATTATAATAATTAATGTTGCCTTTATATTTTGCTTACCAAGAGATAAATCATAGATTCACTCAATTTTTTTTTATTTTGTCAATATGTATTCATATTTTTCATGTTATCTGGATATATCACCTTTGATGTAACTGCTGTTTTGATTTTTATATTTTGAATGTTTGTACTTTGTCCCCATCTCTATGCAGGCTAGAAACAGTGACACTTCTAATCTTTTCTCATCTTACATAACACTTTTTGGTCTTCTATAATATATCCTTCTGTTACTCAAAACCTTGAATTTTTTTAGTTCCATTACGATGAGATTTTTGATGCTATATCTTTATTTATATTCACCACCTAGAACAAGGGTTGGGTCAAATAGGATTCACTGTTTGTTTTGTAAGACCTGTGGTCCAAAACGGTTTGATGATCTTTGGAAAGGCCACAGGGACCCTAGATTTACACCGACTGCATCTAAGCTTTTCTGCATTATTGTACGTTTTCACGAAAACTCATTCTGTGAATAAAATGACTCATTTCTGGAAGCATCACTACTTCAGAATTCAAAGAAACTTACCCGCAATGTTAAAGGAATTTCTCACTTTTTTTTTTTTTTTTGCTAAAACTGTTGCTAATTTGGAATGCAACTTTGATTTCACAAGTTCAAATTATCTCTATGAGTTAAAACTATTTTCTCTGAGAATAGATGTTTTATTTATGATGACATCCAATGTGCTTCAGAGTGTTTAAAAATCAGGATATTTTAGACATTGATAGCCTATTTGATGAATTCATAGATGCAAAGAACCCGATTGAGAAGCAGCAGTACTCCAGGAAAACGTGTACATTTAAATGGTTGGACATCTTTGAACAGCTAGGAATGAATTCATACAAGTCTAAAAAGCTGCGGTTGCCAGTAATGAAACGTCTAGGTAGCCCATGTTCAAACACTTCTGTTGAGAAGAGATTTAACTAATCTCCTCATATTACACTGACACTGCAAATCAGCAATCAGTGCAATGTGAGATGCATAAAGGCAAAGCTGCAAGTCAAATTGAATTTTACTCTTGACTCTATTTAGTTTGACCAATACATTAGGAAAAAGATGGTTGTCCTAAAGCCTTCGTGCAGTTCAGTGGAGTGTTTCCGGACAAGAAAACAAAGAGTAAAATGCCTTAGTTTATCATAAGGCAAACATAAACTTATTGTTATTTTTTGTTAAATAGAGGTGATATATGTTTATTTTTATTGTATTTAGATTCCTTTTTAAAAGACATATATATTAAGAATATACAAAAATATAGGTTAGAAAATTTTATATCCAATCAATATTGCTATTGATGTTTTTACATTGATTTTGTATCCTGAAACTTTACTGAAGGTTTTTTTATCAAGTCTAAGTATGTTTTAGAGGAATCTTTAGGGTTTTCCAGGTATAAAATCACGTCATCTAATTTGACTTCCTCTTTTCCAACTTGGATGCCTTTTATTTTGTTTTTCTCTTACCTGATTTCTCTAGTTAGGACTTTCAGGACTGTTGAGCACAAATGGTGACAGTGAACATCCTTGCTTGTTCCAGGTCTTAGGGGAAATACTTTTAACTCTTTCCCATTCAGTATGATGTTGGCTGTGGGTGTGTCAAAGATGGCTCTGCTTATTTTGAAGTGTGTTACTTCAATGCCTAGTTTGTTGAAGGTTTTTATCAAAAGGAATGCTGGATTTTATTGAGTGCTTTTTTTCCTGCATCTATCGAGGTGATCATGTGGTTGTTGTTTGTGACTCTGTTTATATGGTGCATCACATTTATTGATTTGCCTGCATCGAAGCATTCGTGAATTCCTGGAATGAAACCCGCCTGATTGTGATGAATTACCTTTCTGATGTGCTGTTGAATTTGGTTTGCTAGCATGTTTTTATGATCTTTGCACTTATGTTCTTCAGGAATAATGACCTGCATTTTTCTTTTTGAGTTGTGTCTTTGCCTGATTTGGACTTCAGAGCAATATTGTATCTGTAGAATGAGTTTAAGAGGAATCCTGCTTCCTGGATTTTTTTTGGGAATAGTTTCAGTAATAGTGCTACAAGCTCTTCTTTGTATGTCTGGTAAGAATCGGCCGTGAATCCATCTTATCCTGGGTTTGTTTTTTCAAAGACTATTCATTACTAATCCAATTTAATTACTCATTATTGGTCTGTTTATCATTTCTATTTTTTCCTGGTTCAATTCTTGGGAAGTTGTGTATTTCCAGGAATTTATCTTTTTCTTCTTTGTTTCCCAGTTTGTGTATATAAAGGTGTTTATGGTAGTTTCTGATGATCTTTTGTATATCTGTGGTATCAGTAGAAATGTCTCTTTTATCATTTCTATTGTACTTATTTGAATCTCTTTATCTTGGTTAATCTAGCTAGTGGTCAGTCAATTTTGTTTATGTTTTCAAGTAATTAATTTTTCACTTTGTTGATCCTTTGTATAATTTGTGGTGGTCTCACTTCTACTTAGCTCTGCTCTGGTCTTTGTTATTTCTTTTTTATTTTTTTTCTGCTAGCTTTGGATGTGGTTTGTTCTTGTTTACCTGGTTCCTAGAGGTGCAACATGTGGTTGTTAATTTGAGATCTTCCTATATTTTTTATGTAGACATTTAGCACTACAAACTTTCTTCTTAGCACTACTTTTGCTGTATCCCAGAGGTTTGAGTACATTGTATCTATATTATTTTTGTGTTTGAATTTTTTTAAATTTCTTCCTTATTTCCATTGTTTATCCAAGAGTAATTCAGGAGCAAGTTACTTACTTTTCACATACTTGTGTGGTTTTGGGAGTTATTCTTGGTATTGATTTTTAATTTTACTTCACTGTGGCCCAAGAAAATATATTATATAATTTTGATTTTTTGATTCTACTGAAAACATATGCTTTTGGCCAAATGTATGGTCGATTTTGGAGAATATTCCCTGTGTAGAAGGTAATAATGTTAGTTCTATGATTGGTGGGTGGAACGTTCTGTAAATGTCTGGTAGGTCCATCCGTTTGGTATATAGTCCAGTTTGAGTCCACGGTTTCTTGGTTTATTCTCTGCCTTGATGATCTGTCTAATCATGTCGGATCTAATATGTCTAGTCCTCCGCTATTCTTGTATTGTCATCAATGTCTTTGTTAGGTCAAATGTATTTGTTGGGTGAATCTGGGTGCTCTGGTGTTCAGTGCATTTATTTTTACACCTACTAACGCAACGTTTCTGCAGCCCATGGATCAAGGAGTAATTTCAACTTTCAAGTCTTATTATTTAGGAAATATATTTCATAAGATTATAGCTGTCATAGATAGTTAAACCACTGATGGATTTGCGAAAATTCAATTGAAAATCTTCTGGGAAGGATTTATGATTCTAGAGGCCATTAAGAACATCTGTGTTTTATGGGAGGAGATCAAAGTATCAACGTTAACAGGAATTTGGAAGAAATTGATCCCAAAACGAAAAGATGATTTTGAGGGGATAAGGATTTCAGTGGAGGAAGTGGCTGCAAAGAAATAGAGAATGAGAATTAGAGGTAGAGCCCAAAGAGATGACTGCAATCCCATGATAAAACTTGAATGGATGAGGAGTTGCTTCTTACGGATAAGCAAAGAAAGTGGTTTCTTGAGATGGAAACTACTTCTGGTGAAGATGCTATCAACATTTTTAAAATGACAATGAAGGACTTAGAATATGACATCAATTTAGTGATAAAGCAGTGGCAAAATTTGAGATGATCAACTCCAGTTTTGAAAAAATTTCTACTGTGGGTAATACAATACTATCAAGTGGTATTGAATGTCACAAAGAAATCTTTCTTGAAAGGAAAAGTCAGTTCATGCAGTAAACTTTATTTTCTTTTTTTAAGAAACAGTTCACAGCCACCCTAGTCTTAAGCAACCACCACCCTGATCACTCAGCAACAATTAACAGTGAGGCAAGACTCTCCACTAGCAAAAGGAGTATGACTTGTTGAAGACTCAGATAATCGTTAGCAATTTCTTTTTTAGCAATAAATTGTTTTCGGTTAAGATTTTTATTTTTTGATTAGACCTAATGCTATTTTTTTATTAGAACTAATGTTAATGCACACTTACAAAGCAATAGACTACAGTATAGTGTAAACATAACTTTTATATGCACTGGGAAAAGAAAATATTAGTGTGACTTGGAACCAAACCTATCTCCAAGTTATGCCTATCTATATTTATCTATATATCTATATCTCTCTATATAGATAGATAAACATGCTTATGTCATTCTATATGTGTGTATATATACTATATATCTATATATAGATAGCATTTATATCTATATATACATGTATAAAAGATATACATATATATCTGCATATATTTTCTGTATACATGTATAAATATATATGTATAGCTCTCCATATATTCAAAATCAAAACCAAAAGTTAATACTTTATAGGTATATATGGTTGACTGATATGTGGGAAGAAAACCAGAGTACTAAGGAATTGAATACCATAAAAATAACATTACAGTTACCTACATGGGCAAAGAGAGAGTTCTCATTAAGAAAAGAAAATAGAAGTTTCTGGTATGTAGTAATGCTTTATTTTTTGACATAGTTGTAGTTATGTAGAGGTTTTGCGCTATAAAACTGCATTTACTGCATTTAATGCTAACTGGCTATTTTGCCCATTAGTTGATATAGATTCTGCATTAAACAACAATATTATAGACTCTGCATTAAACGACAATTTTAAACTCACAAATATCAATATTAATCCTGAATTTAAATGAATTAAATGCCCCAATCAAAGACACAGAAAGAAAAATTGAATAAAAAGTCAAAACCCATCAGTACGCTGTATCCAGATCCATCTCATAAGCATTGTAACTTTCGTCTCTGACAAAATAGACTTTAATAGTAACAAAGACTAAAAGAAACAAAGAAGGACATTATATAATGGTAAAAGGATCAATACCAAATAGGAATCAATGATCATAAATATATATTCGCCCAGTATAGGAATACCCAGATACATAAGACAAGTTCTCAATGACTTATAGAGAGACTTGGACTCCTGCACAATAATAGTGGGAGACTTTGACACCACATTGTTAATATTCGACAGATCAACGAGATAGAAAATTAACAGGGACATTTATGGTTAGAACTCAGACCTGGAACAAGTAAATTCAGTGAATATCTATAGAATTCTTCATCCCAGGTGTACAGAACATACATTTTTCTCAGTATCACATTACACCTATTTTGAAAGTGACCACATAATTGGAAATAAATCACCCTTCAGCATTTGCATAGCATTTCACAGACTTAAATGAAATATTGGTTGGCTATTTGTTTGTTACTTTCTTCCCTTATTCCTTCCTGTCTCTGCTGTTAAGTACAATTATCGGCATAAAAGAGGTTTTTAATATCTATTTTTAGATTACATTCCAGCCTGGGCAATAGAGCAAGACTCCTGTACTCTCTCTCCCTTTCTCTTTCTCTTTTTTTCTTTTCAAAAAAGAAAGAAAGAAAGAGAAAGAAAGAAAGAAAGAAAGAAAAAAGAAAGAAAGAAAGGAAAGAAAGAAAGAAAATCACAAGGTGCAGAACACATATGTACTATATGGTACTACTTAAAAAAAAATGAAAGGTAGTGTTTTTCTTAACATGTCCGCCAACACTCACACTCACACTCCGGGGAAAGCATCTGCGCAGCTGGCTTTTGCCGCTCTGAGCAGCTGGCAACAGAGTGGTTGGGTGGTAGGTGCTGGATGTGGCACAGGGGAAAGTCACTAGTGCAGAGGGAAAGGGTGCCAACCTTGAGGGTGGGAAGGAGCGAGGATGAGCAGAGGCCCATGGGCACCAGAGTCTGGCCCTAGTGATGCCCCAGGCTGGGCCTGTGTGTTTCCAGGCAGCATTCTGCCCTTTGTGAGGCTCAGCAGGCTCTGCCTAGCAACGCCTCATTGTGACTGTCTTGTTTTAAAGACAGGGCTTCCCTGGCTTGTTCAGACTGGACATGAATCCCAGTGCACTGAATGCTTTTTGTGAAGGAGAGCAGGTCAGTTCTAAAACCCACAGCTATGTCTTTCTGGTTCGGGGGCCTTGGCTCTGGCGTAGGCCATTCCCTGGCGCACCTGGCTTGAGTGGGCAACAATGTGACTTCCTTCATCAGACACATCTCAAATGTGCTGATACACGGCGAGTTCCCTAACTCTGACATCAAGGACATTGCGGCATGCCTGAACTTCATAGAACCACTGAATGAGACACTTCAACATAGTCAAACTGCACCTATGGCAGAGCCGAGAGCTGCAGATCCAATTATGGAGCTAGAAATGGAGGTATTGCAGCCGAGAGCTGCAGATCCAATTATGGAGCTAGAAATGCAGGTATTGCAGCAACAGTCTTGAGGCAGAAATGAGATCTCGAAAGATAACTCAAGAGCAGTTGGGCAGTAAGATGCAGCTACTTCAGTCTTCACAACACCGGAAACAGGAAATGGATCATTTCAGTGCCAGCAAGAGCAAAGGAATATCACACACACCCAGCGCTTTTCAGCCAAAGATGAAGAAATTAATTTGCAAAATACAAAACATCAAATCCAAACCCGCCTGTGTGGAAAACGAGAAGACATTCAAACAGACCGTGATGTTTTTCAAACAAGAGAAGTTGAGTGTCTTTGTACAGAAAATGGAACTGAAAAGCCTGATTCATCTAAACTGGAAACTGAAAGATTAGTGAAAGGAATGAACGAACAAGAACTGGAGATGAAAGTTCTGCATGACCAGAATATGACTTTAACTGAACGGATGGGTCAGCCGTCCATCAGTGAGGTGGGCAAACTGACTCACGTCATCCATCAGGAAGATGTGGAGGTGCCGGGCCTTCGGGCTACAACAGCTTCGGCTTCTCACACCCACGGTGTTGCTCACGTTCAGCAGCAACTGCAATCATCTGCTTTGGAAACCCAAGAAATATCAGGTGTTTGGAAAGAGGCAGCTCGGGAAAATAGCTGTGTAGGAGGAGAGTATGACCATCGATTGGATGACAATGAAGGGGGCCTGTGTAAGCTGCAAGAGGAAAATAAAAACGCATCCACTAGTAGTGGTCAGGAGAGGCTTAAAGACAATGTTCTGAAGTCAACACATCTCAATCAAGAAAAAGATAATGAAATAGATGCATTAAGTCAGAAACGTCAGCCTTTAGCGACCATTCTGCAAACATCCAGCACCAGTCACGACCCTGAAAATATTGCTATCTATCAGTATGAGGAGCTTCCACAAGAACCCGATATCTTAAAACAGCCCGTTAAGAAACTGGAAGCATGGAAAGAGCAGCTGGTGACCACAGTGCAGCAGGGGGCAGCCCAACCCCAAGAAGAACTTCCTCAACTTCGGGCAAAACTTTTAATTGGCAGTGATGACGACTCTCAGTGTCAGATGAACGGTAGAGACCTGATGCAAAATTATGAAGGGTGTGAAACTCAACTGAAAAACCTGAGACGGGAGTTAGCACACATGCAGTGCCGCACTGTACAGCTCTGCAGTGGCAAGGAGGGTCTCTTCCCACAGCTGGATATTTTACCCCAGCTGCCCAGAGAGGCAATCTGCAGAATCTCACAATCTGCAGAATCTCCTCATGCAAGTGAGTCTGTTCTGTTGACTGAGTCTTCTAATTGCTCCCCCAAGAGATGGAGAAGCCGAGAAAAGCGCTGCAGGAAAAGACGCAGCCATTAGAACCCCCCAAGAAGACAATCAGTGACTGTCTGATTCCACTTCTGCCGCCTCAGGACGACAAAGAAAAGAATATGAACAAATGCGTTCAGAAATTCGGCAGCTGAAGGAGAAACACAATGTCTTAGACAGGTTACTCAGGGGATAAACCTTTTCATCAGAGCCAAAAACAGTCTAATACATTCGCCGAGAGAAAATCTCACGAAAAAAATGAGTAAAAATGAGCTTCTGAGGCAGAAGGTGAGAAATCTGAAGAAGAGAGTATCAGTTTTAGAAACGGATGTGGGTAAACTAAAACAGGATGATGAGAAAATTGCTGAAACATCCAGGGAAAAGGAAATAGAATATCAGGAAGAAATCAAAGAACTTGAAAAGCAAAACGTGGTCCTACAGGAAAGGCTGGATCATTTCCAAAAGAAATGCATACATTTAGCCAGCAGCACAGAAGGAAAAGTGGACAACTCCTCACGAGAAACCTCTTCATTAGATATCTTAACACTCCAAAACACACAGAACATGTAGTGTTACAAGCCATGGGAAGCATCCTGGGTGTCACAAGGGAGAAAAATAGAGCAGCAGTGTCAGGAAAGGCATGGCACTGTTAACAGGTCCTCCATGACTGGGTGCCTTGGAGGAGATCCAAAAGTATCCCTGGAACACCACTGGGCCTGAATCAGCAACCTGCCCTTAACAGTTCTTTTTCAGAACTTTTTGTTAAATTTCTTCAAACAGAATCTCTTTCATCTACTCCTCCAACAAGGCTTGCTCCTCATAATTCTCCAGGACAGATCAAACTAGCTAAAAATGTACAACAAAATTTAGGAAACATCCCAGCATCCATACCAAGAGGAGCAGATGCCAATCCCTGCTCCTCTGATGTGTCTCTTAGGAGCCTGGTTGGTCTTGGACCTGGTGGGTCGGAGCATTGTCTGTCAAATGCTGCTGCAGAGGCTTTGCCCGCATCTGCACCTCCACTGACCTGGCCAGAGTGCAGGGGCTGGGCTGAAAGGCTGTGATAGCAACGGATGATCCTCAGAGACTATTGAAGATGAAGCCACAATGTGTATCTACTTTATCACTAATGACCTTTTGGAAAGAGCCATTTCATTTTCAGTTTTACTTTCTTTAAATTTAATAAAACTATTGAAAGAAAAATGTTTAAGAGTCTCTGAAGGACTGGCCAGGGACAGTAGCTCAGACATGTAATCTCAGCACTTTGGGAGACTGAGGCGGGTGGATCACCTGAGGTCAGGAGTTTGAGATCAGCCTGGCCAACATGGTGAAATCCCGTCTCTACTAAAAATACAAAAATTAGCCAGGTGTGGTGGCATGTGCCTGTAATCCCAGCTACTTGGGAGCCCGAGGCAGGAGAACTGCTTGAATCTGGGAGGCAGAGACAGAGGTTGCAGTGAGCTGAGATAGCGCCACTGCACTCCAGCCTGAGTGACACCATCTCAAAAAAAAAGAGAGTCTCTCTGAAGGACTGTAAAGGTATTCACACAAGTAAAAAGCAAAAAACAAAAAACTGCATTTACATGTTTATGCAATTTTTTGTATATTTTTAACATTTCTGCATATCACACTTCACGTAACATTTTCATGACAGAAAAAGAGGGAGTCAAAAGTAGTCTCTTGAAAGCCAAGTAAAGAAAGTATCTCATAAAAGACAGTGAGGTGTAATTATTGGTTATGTATAGGTTAGATTGCATGGCTGCTATTTATGGCAAACTGTACTATCTAATAGAAGGCACAGAATTTAACGTACATATCTATCTTCCCTGAATGTGTGTAAGTTTCTGCCACAGACAGACCTGGCCCTGGAGAAGAAAGTAACAAATTTTCCTCCCTGCAGACATAGTATTTTAGCAATACAGAGCAAGGGGTTCCATGCTGAATAGATCCTTTCAAACTTATTAACCTCTTATGCAAAGAGAAAGAGAATGAATGGGCACTAAGATGACTGCAGCTCATGGTACCACTTTTTCTTTTTCTTTTTCTTTTTTTTTTTTGAGACGGAGTTTTGCTCTTGTTACCCAGGCTGGAGTGCAATGGTGCGATCTCGGCTCACCGCAACCTCCACCTCCTGGGTTCAGGCAATTCTCCTGCCTCAGCCTCCTGAGTAGCTGGGATTACAGGCACGCACCACCGTGCCCAGCTAATTTTTGTATTTTTAGTAGAGACGGGGTTTCACCATGTTGACCAGGATGGTCTCGATCTCTTGACCTTGTAATCCACCCGCCTCGGCCTCCCAAAGTGCTGGGATTACAGGTGTGAGCCACCGCGCCCGGCCGGTACCACTTTTTCATGGTACCGCTGCCTAATCACTGTGGAAGGCAGTTTGGTCGTTTTTTCAAATGTAAACCAAGTTTTACCATATAGTCCTGCAATCGTGTTCCTGGGCATTTACTTAAATAATTTGAAAAGTGTGTCTACACAGAATGTGTACAAGAATGTTTGTAGAAGCTTTATTCATAATCACCAAAAATTAAAAGCAACCAGGATGACCTTTGGCAGGAGAATAAAGAAATAAGATATGGTATGTCCATGCAAGAGAATAATATTCAGCAACAAAAATATGAGTTATTAAGCATTAAAAGATGTAGATGATTCAAAGTTTATATTTCTAAGTTTAAAATCCAGTTTCAAAGTTTACCCACTGTATCTTTCCAATTAAGTGACATTCTGGAAAGGGAAAACTATAGAGATAAGAAAAATTCCCTTAACTTTCTAATAATATCACCTTGGAGCTTAGTATATCAACATAAATTTTGGAGGGACACAAAAATACAGACCATGGCGTTCTGTAAGTCTGAAACTGTTTAAAAATGAAATATGTAAAAAAATATTTGAAGCCTTTAGTAAATGGTTATATTTCATAAATATATTTTTTTCTGAAAATCTTACTACTCATGCCAAGGTTAAATTGAAATCAGAATAAATACCTGCCATAAATGATGGTAAAACCTACACCCAGATTCTTTAATACATCTTTAAAATCTCCTGTGTTTAGGAATGAATAGTTAATGGCTTTGCTTTGTGTGTCTCTGTGTTTTTAAATCCTTTTTCTTTCATCCTAGTCCTCTAACCCTTTTAAAAGCTAAATTTTGTTGTTTTAATATCATGGTAATTGCTATATGCTACTCTATTCAGTAT